TATTTATATTTATATTTATATTTATATTTATATTTATATTTATATTTATATTTATATTTATATTCACACCTAAAATATATATATATATATATACAGAGAGAGAGACAGAGAAAGAGAGATTTATAAGGATTGATAGAATTACAATTAATTGACAACACTAATAATAAAAAGATAATAAAAAATAAATAAATAAATAAATAAATGTGACTGACCTCTTTTTATGTGCTCTGTATATCGCATCTACATTGAAGACATTCCAGCCGAAAGTAGTTTTAGACTTTTTCTTTTTTAAACGCTGTGCTTCTTCTGATGCAGCAAGTGTTTGATTTAAGACAGACTGTGCATTTAAATGCCTTCTCCTTGACCTGCTGCTTCTTCCATCAGCTTCTTCGTCTTCGTCGCTCGATTCTGCTGCTGCTGCTGCTGCTCGTGCTGCTCGTGCTGCTGCGGTAGACCTGCTGCTGCCTTCTGCTGCTGCTGCTTCTTCTTCTGCTGCTTCTTCTTTCTCTTCCTGATACAGCCGATACATCGGAGCCTCCTGCAAACGCTTGTACGCATCACGAGCTGCTGCTGCTGCTGCTGCTGCTGCTGCTTGCGGCATCTGCCACTGCTTCTTCTCTTCTAACACCTGCAGCAGCAACAGCAGCAACAGCAGCAGCAGAAGCAGCAGCAGCAGAAGCAGCAGCAGCAGAAGCAGCAGCAGCAACCACACACAGTCTATATTGGAAACGCAACAGCAGCAGCAAAATAAACTGCTGGATGGTGCTGTTGCGGTCGCCTGCTGCTGCTGCTCCGTGCTGCTTCCTGCTGCTGCAGTTGTTGCTGCTGCTGTTGCTGCTGCTGTTGCTGCTGCTGCAGTTGTCCGCCTCACCTCTTTGGTGTTGAGGGCGCGGCCCTGATTGAGTTGGAGACGAAGAGACAGCAGCTTTTGCTTCCTCTCCAGAAGCAGAGCACGTGCTGCTGCTTTGCCGCTGCTGCTGCTGCTGCTGCTGCTGCTGTTGTCTTCGTTTGTCTCTGAATCTTCATCATCATGCAAATCCATCAATAGCTTGCCTAGAGGGTCTATTGCTGCTGCTTCTGCTGCTGCTCTTTTCTGATGCTGCTGCTGTGTTTCATCATCGCTGCTGCTGCTGTCGCCGTCATATAGAAACGCAGCACCTGGAGCTTCTGCTGCTGCTGCTGTTGCTGCTGCTGCTTCTTTTGGCTGCAGCAGCTCCTTAAGAGATCCCCCTGCAGCAACCTTCTCTAAGGCTTGCTGTGCTGCATATGTGCTGCTCTCTAAAAATCTCTGTCTCTTTCTCTCAAGTCTTCTCTTCTTATCGCGACGCGACGGGGCTTCCATCTCACTGTCGCTGCTGCTGCTCACCGACTCCTCGTCACTCCCTAAGCAGCAGCAGCAGCAGCAGCAGCAGCAGCAGCAGCAAAAGGTGCAGCAATAGAAGCAGCAGTAGCAGCAGTAGAAGCACGAGTAGAAGCAGCAGCACCAAAAGTAATGGAAACAACAACAGAAAAAGCAGCAGCTGCAGCAGCAGCTACAGGAGCAACAGCAGCAACTGCAGCAGCAACAGCAGCAGCAGCAACAGCAACAGCAGCAGCAACAGCAGCAGCAACAGCAGCAGCAGCTTACCTTTAAGTTTGCGTGCATCTTCTGCTTGTTTCTGCATTTCTTTTTCATGCTTTTTCATCAGAGTTTCGAGCTGAGATCGGACGCCGCTTAATGATGCATTACGAAGAGCAGAAGGAGCAGCCAGCTGACCGCAACCTGCAGCAAACAAACCCTAAACCCTAAACCCTAAACCCTAAAGCCCTAAGTTGATTACAGCCTGCAGGGGTTTAGGGTTTGGAATTAAAGGTTTAGGGTTTAGCATTTTAGAATTAAAGGTTTAGGGTTTAGGGTTTAGGGTATTAGAACTAAAGGTTAGGGTTTAGGGTTTAGGGATTAGGGTTTAGGGTATTAGAATTAAAGGTTAGGCTTTAGGGTTTAGGGTTTAGGGTTTAGGGTTTAGGGTGATAATAGCATTACCAGTGATAAGAATAGGAACTCTAGGAGTTTGTGAGTTCGGGTGTACAGGGATCTGTTGCATAGCTCTTAAGACGTTAATCCCTTCAATTAGCTGCCCTATTACTTGATGTTTATTATCAAACTGCGGTGTCTTCTTCAAAGTTATAAAAAACTGAGAGCCGTTGCTGTTGCGGCCGTTGTTCGCCATGCTCAGACACCCTAAACAGCAAATCAGCAAACAAATTTATATTTTATTATATATTTAATTTAATTTAATGCGATCTAGTATAATATCTTTAATATAATATAATATGATGTAATATAATATGTAATGTAATATAATATGTAATGTAATATAATAGTAATATAATATAATATAATAATAATACAATATAATATAATGTAGGACAATATAATATTAATATAACACATAATAAATATAAATACAAATATAATAGGCTTTATTATTCAAGGATTAGACTTTATTGTTTATTGTTTATCGTTCAAGGTTTAGGGTTTAAAAGGGTTTAGGATTTACAAGGGTTTACGGTTTAGGGTTTCTAAGGGTTTCTAAGGGTTTCTAAGGGTTTCTAAAGGTTTCTAAGGGTTTCTAAAGGTTTCTAAGGGTTTATAAAGGTTTCTAAGGGTTTATAAGGGTTTATAAGGGTTTATAAGAGTTTATAAGGGTTTCTAAGGGTTTATAAGGGTTTAGGGTTTATAAGGGTTTAGGGTACCAGCTTGTGCATGTCTGCGAGCAAAGTTTTCATCATTAAATGTGCCGCCCCAGATGCTTTCTCCTGCAGAACCATCGTTGTTAATAAAGTCTCCGCTTTGTAGCAATACACCCGAAACATATCTAAAAAATAAACAGCCTCGATAGCATAGAGGTTTACCGGAGCCCTTGCTTAAACCATACTCTCCTGCAGCACAAGCAGCAGCAGCAGCAGAAGAAGAAGCAGCAGCAGAAGTAGTAGGGATAGTACAGGAGTAGAAGCAGCAGCTACAACACGCTAACTGCATGCGGAGACAGCAACCATGATAGCAACAGCAAATGCAGCAGCAGCAGCAGTAAAAACACCAGCAGCAACAGCAGCAGCAACACCAGCAGCAGCAACAGCAGCAATAGCAGCAGCAACACCACCAACACCAGCAGCAGCAGCAACACCACCAACACCAGCAGCAGCAGCAACAGCAGCAGCAGCAACACCACCAACACCAGCAGCAGCAGCAACAACAGCAGCAGCAACAGCAATAGCAGCAGCAACAGCAGCAGCAACAGCAGCAGCAGCAGCAGCAGCATTACCTGTACAGAGCCCCCTGAAGTTTTCTGCTGCTTTCGGAGTAATATCTGCAAACAATTTAAAGACCAAACGCCCAGCGGGCTGAGTGCCGATAGAAATATCCAAATAAACTAAAGGCGTTGAACGAGACATCTTCAAGACAAAAAAGAATATTAGCTGCTGCTGCTGCTGCTATTGCTGCTGCTGCTGCTGCAGCTGTTGTTGTTGCTGCTGATGCAGCTCTTGTTGTTGTTGCTGCTGCAGCTGTTCTTGTTGTTGCTGCTGCAGCTGTTGTTGTTGTTGCTGTTGCTGCACCTGTCGTTGCTGCTGCTGATGCTGCTGATGCAGCTGTTGTTGTTGCTGCTGATCGTACAGCTGTTGCTGCTGTTGCTGCTGCTGCTGCTGGTTTTCTTGCTGCTGCAGACGGTGGCGATGAAGAAAGTAGAGAATTTGCTGCTAGGAGTTCCTTTGATCTTTGCTGCTGCTGCAGTGAATGCTGCTGCGCACGCAGCAGCAGCAGCTGCTGCTGCAGCTGCTGCTGCGTATTCTGCTGCTGCTGTTGTTGCAGCTGCTACTGCTGCTCTTACTCCTACTGCCGCTGAGCGCCCTGCTGCTGCTGCAGTTGATGCTGCTGCTGTGCTGCCAGTTGCTTCTGCTATCCGATGCAGTTGCTGCAGCAACAGCCAGCAAAGGATACGGTGTATATACACCTTGATCTGCTGCTGCTGCGTGCCTTGCTGCTGCTGCTGCTGCTGCTTGTCTGCTGGCTCTGTCAAAGCAGCAGCTCTTCTCCTTCTTAGATGCAGCAGCAATACATGAAAAGAATATTACAACGATAATTTCATAAATTGTGTTTTGCTGGAGTGCAGCAGCAGCAGCAGCATCTGCTGCTGCTGCTGCTGCTCTACGGGGCCCCCGTACGGCACGCATGCTGTAGAAGATTGCATGTGGCTGCTGCTGCTGTTGCTGTTGCTGCTGCTGCTGCAGTAAGTAACGCCTGATGTTTATTTAATTAATTGTTTTATATTTTTTTGTTTTGTTTTGAAGAGGAAGCAGAGCAAAATCTCTAACCATCACCCCACACACGAGGGGGCCCCTCTAGGGTTTAGGGTTTAGGGTTTAGGGTTTGGAGTTAGCTTCGCAGTGATGCTGCAATCAGCAGCAGCTGCGCCAGCAGCATCTGCAGCAGCAGCAGCTGCTGCAGCTGCTGTTGCTGCTGCACACCGCCTCCCGTTTCGCCGGGGATGGAATGCACTCAGTTACAGCAGCAGCAGCAACAACAGCAGCAGCTGCTGCAGCAGCTGCTGCTGCACCAAGGGCATCTGGCGCAGCAACAATCGCAGCCTTCTCCCGGTGGAGTACCCAGACTCCCCGCGCAGCAGCAACGGCAGCAGCAGCAGCAGCAACAACAGCAGCGACAAGATCAACACCTTACAACAGCAGCGGGCGTACTTCTTCCTCAGAAGCAGCAGCAGCAGCAGCGGCAGCGTCATCAGTAGCAGCAGCACCAGCAAGTTGAACACTTTGCAGCAACGGCGGGTTCGCTTCTTCAGCAGCAGCAGCAGCAGCAGCAGCAGCAGCAGCAGCAGCAGCGCCATAGGCCACCGCCCCTGGAGTCATATGGGCCGCAGCAGCAACCGCAGCCGTTGGGTGTCTCGGGTTGATGGTTTAATTCGGAAGGGGCAGCAAAAAGCAGAAGCTCTTGCTGCAGTTTCTGATGAAGGGTTTGCTGCTGCAGGTCCTGCTGCTGCTGCTGCTGCTTCATTTGCTGCTGCTGCTGCAGCAGAACTAGAAGGAGGCCGCACATTCCCCAGCGACTGTGTGCACCCTGACCTAAAGAAAATTACTCCAGCTTGGAATAGCAGGCGGTCAGCTGCTGCTGCTGCTGCTGCTGCTGCTGGTGTTGCTGCTGCTGCTGCTGGTGTTGCTGCTGCTGGTGTTGCTGCTGCTGGTGTTGCTACTGGTGTTGCTGCTGGTGCTGTTGCTGCTGCTGCTGCTGCTGCTGCAGTCTCTTTGTTTGCTTTTCTCTTGCAGTTTCTTGGTGTATAAGATAGGAATGATGTCTATATATATATATATATATTTATATATATTTTTTTATATTATATATATACATATACATATATATATCATTATAAAGCTAATAACATCACCAGCACATTTACAACAACAAATATATTACTAGAATGATATATATATAAGTGTTCTTTGTGGTGTTTGTAATGCATGCAGTTGCGGTGTCTTGGGATATAAGGTAGGAATGATGTCCCTTTGGAATGGCTGGGGCGAACGAGAAGCTGTAACTGTTGTTCAGATCGACAGATGCATAATTTTACAGAAGAAGTCTCTCTCTTCTGATGGATATGAAGCTTGTCTGCTCGGCATCGGTCAGAAACATATACTTTATGCTGCTCCTGCTGTTGCTGCTCGTGCTGCTGTTGCTGCTCGTGCTGCTCGTGCTGCTGCTGCTCGTGCAGCTATTGCTGCTCGTGGTGCTGCTGCTGCTGCTCGTGCTGCTCGTGCTGCTCGTGCTGCTGCTGCTGCTGTATCGCATCGTGATATATCGGATGCTGCTATATCTGGTGCTGCTATATCTGCTACTGCCATATCTGATTGCTGCTAGATGCTGCTGCTTGTTGCTGCTAGATCTGCTGCTGGTAGATGCTGCTGCTGTTGCTGCTAGATCTGCTGCTTCTAGATGCTGCTGCTACTACTGTTTCTGCTGATGCTGTTGTTGCCTCTGCTGATGCTGCTATTGCTAGATCTGCCCATGGTAGTTCTGTTGCTGCTGCTGCTGCTTGATCCGCTGCTAGATCTGCTGCTGCTGCTTCTGCTGCTGGGCCTGCTGTTGCCGCTGCTACAGCTGCTAGATCTGCTGCTGCGTCAAATTTCTAATCCTATTTACATTCCTAATTTATATTTAATATTTATATTTATATATCTCTCTATTTCTATTTATATTATTAATTTGCATTTTTATGTTTGCAGGGTATCGATCGCCTGCGAGAACACCTCGTCCTCATTTGGGTGTCTGCTTGTCTATGGGCATCGAGCCAAAGGCACACACTGCAGAGTTTAAGGTGAGGAGACACTCGAATTTATTATTAAGACAAAAGGAGACACTTGAATTTATTAGTAAGACAAAAGGAGACACTTGAATTGATTATTAAGACAAAAGGAGACACTCGAATTTATTAGCAAGACAGAAGGAGACACTTGAAGAAATAATTACGACAAAGGCAGACACTTGGAGCTATCATTGAGACAAAAGGAGACACAGCATTAAATATAAATTAGAAGACAAAAGGAGACACCTAAAGAAGTCATTAAGACAAAAGGAGACACAGCATTAAATATAAATTAGGAGACAAAAGGAGACAGTTTGTGTTTTTTTATATTTATTTCACCTCTTGTATATCAAGAAAGATGGTTCGAATTGATTTTTTTGCATATATCGTTTATTATTTATAGTTGTCTACTTTTATTTAAAGAGACATTTGTTATTTGGCGTATGTTAATTATCTACTTGTGCACTTTCAGGTGTCTTCTGACTGTCTCCTTCCCCCGGGGCATGAGATGAGTGTTTTGCATTTCGTTCCGGGTCAGTGGTGTTTCGTCTCCGGCTGGACGACAGCAAAAGGCTATCAAGGACCCATGAAGAAATGGGGGTTCAAAGGTATGCTGCTGCTGCTGCTGCTGCTGCTGCTGCTGATGCTGGTGCTACTGTTGATGCTGGTGCTGTTGCTGTTACTGCTGATGATGATGCTGCTGGTGCTGCTGTTGATGCTGATGCTGTTGATGCTGGTGCTGGTGCTGTTGCTGTTGCTGCTGATGATGATGCTGCTGGTGCTGCTGTTGATGCTGATGCTGGTGCTGGTGCTGCTGAAGATGCTGATACTGCTGCTGCTGTTGATGCTGCTGCTGGTGCTGTTGATGCTGTTACTGCTGTTGATGCTATTGATGCTGCTGTGGCTGTTGGTGTTATTGATGCTGCTATTGCTGTTGGTGCTGTTGCTTCTGATGATGCTGTTGCTGCTGCTACTGTTGCTGCTGATGATGCTGTTGCAACTACTGTTGCTGCTGATGATGATGCTACTACTGCTGCTGCTTCTGCTGCTGATGTTGTGTTTTCAACTGTATCCTGCTGCCTCTACCGCTGCTTCTACCCACCCGTTTCACCTGCTGCTCCTTCTGCTGCACCTTCTGCTGCTGCACCCTCTGCTGCACCTTCTGCTGCACCTTCTGCTGGTGCTGCTGTTGCTGCTGCTGCAGGACAAAACGCTAGCCACGGAACAGAGAGTAAAGCTCATCGGTCTCACGGAAGCATTGGACAAAGTAAAACCGTAAATGTCGTTTGGAAATTCAAAAAGATGTCGGGACACCTGGGCCCCGACCCGAGAGTTGTGAACTGTCAGGTGTTAAGAATTCAAACCGATAGAAATCTTGTCTTTTTAAAAGGTAATAATATAATTTAAATATTATATTATATAATATTATATAATATATAATATTATATTAACGCAAACATACATGCATGCTGCTCCTGCTCCTGCTGCACCTGCTTCTCCTGGTGTGGTTGTTGCTGCTGGTACACCTGCCTCTGCTGCTGCTGAGGGTGTACCTGTTGCTGCTGCTGCGTTTGCTGCTGTGGCTGTTGCTGCTGGTGTGTATGGTGCTGCTGCTAGTGTACCTGTTTGCTGCTACACCTGCTGCTGCTGTGTCTGCTGCTGGTTCTGGCGGTATACCTGTTACAGTTCTCGTATATACTGCTGTGTTTCCTGCTGCTGCTGCGTTTCCTGCTGCTGCTGCTGCTGCAGGGTGTGTGCCTGGGGGTGTGGGGTCTCTGCTGAAGATCAGCGACGCTCGAGGCAAAACGCATCATCAGCGCAATCGCCATTTGCTGCTGCCTTTTCCTACATTTGTTCCCGATGCTAATAAAGAATATCCTTATCTTTTAAACAAACCTGAGGCAAAGGAAGACCCCTTCGCTTACCCAGAAATACCCATTCATGATAAAGACGAGAACTGAACTGAACGCTAAACCAACCTGCTGCTGCCGCTGCTGCTGCTGCTGCTGCTGCTGATGCTGATGCTCCTCCTGCTCATGCATCTGCTGCGGCTGCACACACAGGCATCAACACCGGCACCGAGCAAAGTTTGCTTGACAAAACAAAAGAAATACCCCTAAACACTTTATATCTTTTTTTCTAACAGACAGTCTATATATTATTTTTCTAAGCAATTCTTCTTTCTTACGAGTTACGACTGGCCCCAGATAGCGAATGTAAACCCTAAACCCTAAACCCTAAACCCTAGACCTAACCGAGCCTCCCCCTACACTGCTTAACGCAGCTGCAGTAGCCCCAGCAGCTGGAGTAGCTACTGTAGCTGCAGTAATTGCAGCAGCTGCAGCAACTGCAGTAGCTGCAGCAGCTGCAGCAGCACATAGTAAATAGGTGGTGTATGTACACTGGAGACAGCTGCACTTCGCCGTGTTCACCGCATGTGTTCTTCATTAAAACCCTAAGGTGTAGCTAGCTGCCAGCAACGTCTAGCTAGCCACGTAGCTAGCTAGCTAGCTAGCTAGCGTGATAATCTCAGCCTGTTGCTGTTTTTTTTCTATATGCAGCAAAAGGAGGAATCGCACAGCTTTTGAATAGAAAAGAAAGACAATACTAAAGCGTTTCCAAGAAAAGCTAAAGGGGCAGCTGCAGCAACTAGTGCTGCTGCTGCTGCTGCTACTGATGTTGCTTCTATAGCCGCATCCCGAAGCAGCTGCCTTCTTCCCACTTAGAAGCAGCAGTCCGACTGACTTTGCTGCTGCAGCGACAGCTTCAGCTGCTGCTGCGTTAGTATTTTCGCGCATTCACCTGCTATGTGCTTCGCTGCAGCTGTTGCTGCAATCCTGTAGCAGCAGCAGCAGTAGCCAAAGCAGATGAGGTGGGTTTGTCTATCTTCTGTTGTCTGCTGCATCGTTGCAGTTCATATGCAACGGAGAGAAGCCCGTAGAGACGCAGCTGCCGCAGAGACAGCGCTGCGTGTGGCAGCGGTAAGGCCTTGCAAGGATAGTTTGAGAGACAGTGCAGCGGCCTGGGGAGCAGCAGCAGCCGCAAGCAGGAGGAGGAGGAGCAGCAGCGGCAACAGCAGCAGCACATTGTGGGGCCGGTTGTCGGTGTTTACTAGAGGCGCAGCGGCCGCCAGCAGCAGCATGGGGAGCAGCAACGCCTTGGCAGCTGCAGCAGCAGCAGCAGGTGCAGTCCGCAGCAGCAGCATGAAGCCCCTCATTGCTGCTGCTGCAGCATACGACAGTAGTTTCGTTCGGGTCCTTTATGGTGTACAGATAGAGACTGTCTCCTCCTCTAACATCATAGTCTGCCAGTGCATTTGTTGCAGTAAGGGTAAACCCATTAAATACTAAACGCATGCGATCAGCACGAGTAACAATCAGCCGCTCCAGCCGCTGCTGCAGCTCCTTCACGCTGCATTCCTCTGGGTCTATGTCGAAGGCCCACGTGCAAGCTGCAGCAACAGCAGCAGCAGCAGAAGCAGCAGCAGCAATAGCAGAAGTAACAGCAGCAGCAGCACGTATGTATCAAACTAATGCACAAGAAAACTGTCAATTGAAACGCTACCAAAAGCAACAAACAGTATGCCCCATACAGTCCGAACGGTGCTGTGCTGCTGCTGTTGCTGCTGCTGCTGTTGCTGCTGCTGCTGTTGCTGCTGCTGCTGTTGCTGCTGCTGCTGTTGCTGCTGCTGCCTTTGCTGCTGCTGATTGAAAGCACCCTCACCTATTTTCCCTTTGTTGCTGCCGGGGATAGGAGCAACGCGGTGTACGAAGACAGCGACATTTTTAAAATGTGTTGGGTTGCGAGTCTGCAAGCGTGTCTCCGGAAATACTGCAGCACATAAACCCCACACCAAACATTATCAAATTTAGACCCTGGTGCTGCTGCTGCTGCTGCTGCTGCTGCAGCTGCTGCTGCTGCAGCTGCTGCTGCTGCTGCAAGTGCTGCAAGTGCTGCCGCACTTGCAGAGGCTGCAGCGGCAGTTGTAAAGAAATTGGTGTGTATTGTGTTTTAACCAAGACTGCTTGCTCCTGCTTCTGCTGTTGCTGCTGCAGCTGTTGCTGTTGCTGCTGCTGCTGCTGCTGCTGCTGCTGCTGCAGCTCGTAGGAACCTTAGAAGATCTTACTTACCATCATATTCAAATGTTTCGTTGGGTTTGTTGTGCAGTCTGTTATAAAGCGCATCAGCAACATAGGGATGAACAACTCCGCATAACTTCTTTCCTTTCAGAGCATCTGCAAGAGCCTGCAGCAAATAAGGAGACAGATAGGTAGCTGCAGCAGAAGAGGATAAGAGAGACAGGTGTCTCTTTTATGCATCAACAGCAAACATTGAATCTATTAAAGGATTAAGCTGTCTCCTTTATGCATATATTAATAAACACAGAATCTATTAAAGCAAACAACTGTCTCCTTTACGCATATAAATAAACACACACAGGGCAGAGGAAGTGAGACAACTGTCTCCTTTATGCATAGAAACAAGCAAGGAATCAATTAAAAGGAGACAGCTGTCTCCTCTATTCATAAACAAGAGTCAGCACAAGAGCTGCAAGAAGAAAACAAACACCAAAGAGAAATAAAGCAGCCACAAAGAGAGACAGGTAAAAAAGATAAAAAACAACAACAATACACCCAAAGACAGACAAAAGAGGTATAAAGAGAGACAGATACAAAGAAATATAGAAACAGATACAGATACAAAGAAATATAGAGACAGAGACAGAGACAGAGACAGAGACAGATGGATAGAGATAAAGATAGAGAGGGAGGAGAGATAGATCAAGGAGACAGAAACAAAGACAGGCATAGAGAGGCACACAGATATACAGACAGAGACAGACAGATAAAGAGACACAGAAACAGAGACAGAGACAGACGCAGAGACAGCTATGGAGGAACATACTAAAATAGAAGAGAAGCAATTATATCTGGATATATATATATATATATATAGAGAGAGAGAGAGAGACAGGCAGACAGACACGCAGATAGACACATATATAAACCCAAATAGATACTGAGACCAATAAGAGGTAAACGGAGAGAGAGACAGAGGACAAGGAGAAAGAAGCACAGAAAGAGACAAATAGATGCAAAGAGACAGAAACGGAGACAGATAAGGAGGAAGAGACAGAGACATTTCCAGAGAAAGAAACAGAGAAGGGGTCAGCGAAGGACAGCGACAGAAGCAAAGACAGAGACTGATTTAAAAAAACAAAAAACGAACGGAGACAGAGACAGTGATAGAGACAGCTAGAGATAAATAGACAGATATATAGAGACAGAAATAGAGAGAGAGAGAGAGAGACAGACAGACAGACAGACAGACACACAGACAGAGACAGAGGGAGAGAGACAGCATCAAGAGACAAAGAGAAGAGGAGAGAGCAGCTAGCAGCAAAGACAGAACACGAGACAATACCGTGTAGTATACACAGCCAAGTGGGAGACACAGTAACTAGATAGAGATGAGAGAAGCAGCAGCAAGCAGAAATAAACAAACAAACAAAGAAGCACACGAAGCAGCAGTATGCATACAACACAGACCCAAACAGCAGCAGCAAGAAATACGAAGTTCTTCAAGCAGCAGCTGCCGCCACTGCTGCTGCTGGTTGCATGCAAGTGTTGCAGCAGAAGGAAACAGGATGTTGAACAGCACCCGCAGCAGCAGCAACACCAGCAGAAGCCACAGCAGCAGCAGCAACATCAACAGAAGCCACAGCAGCAGCAGCAACATCAACGGAAGCCACAGCAGCAGCAGCAACATCAACAGAAGCCACAGCAGCAGCAGCAACATCAACAGAAGCCACAGAAGCAGCAGCAACAGCGGCAGCAGCGACAGCAGCAGCAGCAACCAGCAGCCGCTCTACAGCCAGTTAATGGGCCTGCTATGTGCACGCATGCAACTTGCCTGCGTTGATCTTATATAATTTTCCCTTAGCTGCAGCTTTACGTCGAGGTGAGCGTCTCTAGAGAGGCCTAGGTCCTCAGCCACTGCGTCTACGATATCGTCAATTGTGCGTCCATCTGCAGGCTCCTCTTCTCGCAGCTGAAAGTCCGACATCCTCTACTGCTGCTGATGCTGCTGCTGCGGCTGCTGTTGCAGTTCTTCTACGGGTGTTGCTCCTAGCAGTGGAAGCAACTGCTGCGGTTGCTGCGGCTGCGGCTACTCTTGATGCTGCTGTTGCGTTGTTCGAGGAATGCTGCTCGGGCGCAGCCGACCCGCACCTGCTGCTCCCCCGGCTGCTGCTGGTGCTGCTGGTGCTGCTGCTGCTGTCCCTGCGCACCTGATGTTGCAAGATCAGTCAAAGAAGTAAATGCCCTTTAAAGTTCGATTCAGAATGTGCTGGATTTTGTGTGCACCGCTACGGAGAGGCGCGAACAGAGCGAAGACACTCGAGGCATCCCGCGGCTGTCCAAGGGCCAGCAGCAGCAGCAACAGCGAGAAGAGCAGCAGCAGCAGCACCAACTACAGCAGCTCCAACGCAACTTCGGATTATTCTCCTTTTCACTAATCAATGCATTTCATGCCTAGAAGGAGTGGCTTCTGCCGCTGCTGCTGCCGCTGCTGCTGCTGCTGCTGCTGCTGCTGCTGCTGCTGTCGCGGGTAGGAGGGCGTTTCGAGTGGCCGGTGGTTCTTCCCGCTGCTGACGTGCGAAGCTTTTCTTGAAATATGTGGAGATGTCTCATTCATTAATTAAGATATTTATGTTTGAATAATGGGAAGGGATGTTTTAAACAATAGAATCAGGGATTTGCAGCAACTGCAGCAGCAACTGCAGCAGCAACTGGCCCTGCCGTGCTGCTGCTGTGCTGCACTCCGGGCGACCGCTGGTTCGATGAGGACGAAGATCGTAGGCAGCAACAAATCTAGATGAAGATATAAAAGTATAGATGTATAAATACAGATATATAAATATCCACATATTCTGTTCTAAGCTCCAATGCCTTTAAGTGTTATACACACCAAGCTGCAGCCAGAACGACCTACTATTTGTAATCTTTTTTTTGCAACAGCATATTGGATTGCGTAGCAGCAGCTGCTGCTGCTTCTTCCGGTGCTTCTGCCGCATGCAGCAAGAAGCGCAGTAACTCGCCATCTTTAGAGAGTCTGTTTAAGCGTGGTGAACAGCTGAACTTCGCTGCAACTACGTATGTTACAGAAATGTGCCTGACAAGATGCACATGCTACACAAGCATCTATTCCCAAAATACGTTCCCCTTTAATCAAATATTGATTTTCAAAACACATTTGAATTCCTTCGACTTAAAAAGGAAATCGTGTAATCTTCATAGCTTGCGCTGTCTGACTCCGCCTTCAGTCAGACACCCTCACCGTCAGTCTCATAGCCAGCCCCAAGCCTGGCGTGGCTGCCGAGCCTTAAAGAATAGAAACTGTTAGATTTCAATCGAAAGTGTTGGTCTTTGTCTCTATTCCTATTCCATTGGTTCTTTCAACTCTAGGACGGTCTCTGAAAGCTCCACTTGAGTTCTATTGTATGCCCGTGCACTGCATTACGCGTGCAGTGGAGTAGAGCAAACAGCAAATAGGGAGGTAAAGATAATCTGAGGAGGCCTATAAAGCAGTTGTACGGTAAAGAAAGCATGCTTGATATTTGTTGTTTGGCACGCATATAAAAAACGAACAGACAAACCTCCACAGCTGTTCACTGTGCTTATTTATGTAGATGAATGTAGAGAACATTCATCTACATAAACAAGCACACAGCTCTATATCGGTGTTAACCTACTAGATGAGATAGATGTGCATCGCGCCTGTAGGGCATATACCTAAAACCAAAGAGCAGACAAAGTTCATAATCTAATTATTCACAGAGAATGGGTGTACGTATCGCTGTAGTCGCCGAGATATTATTGCTTGCATACACACACGTTGAAGACAACGTCCTTGTAACTGGGCACCGGATGTTCATCCATCGAAGAGCTGCAGACTTCATTTATTCTCCCCTATCCTACGTATTTAAATTCTCAAGGTACGAGAGATATAGTGCAGTTCGACCATCTATGATTGGCCGGCGCTTCTACCAAATCTGCAAGCAGCACCAATGACAGATTCACAAAGGGTACGGTGCTTGCAGACCTGCACCTTGTATGGATTCTGCAAAAGTGAATTGAAAATTTGTTCGCAGTGCAGTGCAACTTGCAATTCCATAGTAATTTCTTTTCTTTCCTTATCAAAAGAAACGAAATCAGCACGGGTTTTGCGTTCTACGGAACCTCCACTTCGTATGATGTGCGCTCATCCTGAGGATTCAAGCACTCAGTTTCAGAGAGGATGAACAGATTTCAAGCGAAAAATTGAAAATGTTTTAAGTTTAATGAAGGATGCATGGAGTTTTACGAATTATTCCCCGCCTCCCCTGGAAAGGGCACATTATTACGTACAGATTAATCAATATTACTGCCACGCTTGAATCAATGTAGTTGCTGCTGAACTTACATGTATGCCATAGTTCGATTCTGTTTTCAAAGCTGTCCTGTACTGCAACAAAAGAAGCCGTCTAAAGATTCATGTTGCGTTGGCTGGGAACGATAGTCGGTGTGTGAGGCGTTTGCCAAAGATGCTGATAACGGGTTCCCCCGTGACCTCTTAATGCAATGTTTATCGCTTAAGTTCAGCAGCGTGAATGGATGCTCTGTGGGCTCTCAAAGCATGTGAGGAGACAGGCATTTTCTCAGCAATACCACCAAATTCACGCACACGCATACTGCACCGACTGGGAGAACGACGGAATCGTCCCTGCTGTCCGGTAAGCTTTGTAGCATGCGAAGTACCGAATTTCTTCGCCGATCTCTCTGTTTGTCTTTCTTGCCATGGATTTGCAACCACCAAATGATTAAAGCTCGCAGAAGGGACTCCTAGGCAGCTCGATGCTGCCAAGTAGCAAGGCGATCCTTGAATTTTAAGAGGGTTGTCAACAGTCTGCAAACAGCTAATGCGTGCCACACCCGAGATTAGAGTGTTGTACACTCCATGGATTAACTTCGAGTTTCTTTGTAGTTGTTGTGAGTACTGCGCTTCAATATATCTTCTGTTTTGAAGGTTTTACCCCGACGAATTCGGTTGTTCTGCCCAAGCGCAACGAGAGTGAACACCGTTACAATCTAGTCGACCATTCTCAACAAAATGCCGCTAAGCTTTTCTTTCCGTATCCAGAGGCTTGTTATTTAGTTATCCAGGAGGTTGTCCTGCTTGTCCAGGAAGTGGGAGTTAGAATTGCTGTATAGGTTTCTGTTTCACGATTGTTTGCGCCCAGTTGTGTAGTCGTCAAGTTCATATTAATTCATTCTTGTAATGCAGTGCTCCCTAAAGTGCCCAGTTCGTGCGTTGCACAGAATAACACGATCGTCATAGGCGCTCAGCAGAAAACAGCATGGCGTCTACCCACACCCGAATTTTCTGTTTCGGGTGCCCCACATTGCCGTGCTGGTGGGGCATGGCTGGTGTGGGGCAATCGGTAAACTGTTTGAATCCGCTGAAAATGTGCAGTTAACAAATGGGGAGCAAACAACCGAGGATATGGAAAACTTTCTCCAAAGGCGATGTAATAACAACTTTAGCCCTTTGAGCTCATTTTGAAGACGAAAGCGCAACTTCGGAGAAGCAAGGACCCCCTGCGCTAACCTTGCGTTGTAGCGGTCCTCGCTGTTGGTAAAGACAGGCTTGCTTAGCATGCTGCTTCCTCGGTAATAGCATTTCTGGTTGTATTGCATGAGGATACGGCACGCCATTTGCCCCATTACAATATTTCCCAAATCCACCGGTCGCGTCTCCACCGGAGGGCCGATCGTAATAAATCTTGATCATGCGAGGCTCTTGCCGAGCCAGCATTTTCCATCAGAATTCGGTATTTGTGCGTCTAGTTGCGTATCTAATTGGGTACTGAGGGCCCAGCAGGTGATTATCACTTGTTTGCAGTGTTTGCGCATCGAAGGTTGCTGGCTTGCGGGGTCACCTTGAAGCAGAAGTTAAGGCACGTTGGGTCACAACTCATGGCTGGCGGGCTTCTCTGCACCACACCGAGTCCTTGGGAAGATGTACCTACTAAGCCTTAAGAGGGCGCGGCGGGGGAGGGCGGCCAGACGGGGGGCAAACACTCTTCATACTGTATTGACTCTGTTGCAGCTCACGAATGTCCTCCTCTAATACCAACAGCCTTAGCCTCAAAGAGAAGCGGGAAAAAGGCGCAATAAGCCAGATGAGCTTACGCATCCCGCCAATTGAATAAACACAGGGTCACAAACCCCGTTGCTCTCGATCACCGGGCAACCACTATAGCGGCACACCAATGTATACGAGCACACACAGACAGGCAAACACATTGCCGTGATTTAATGAAGTAGGGAAAATGCACTCCCGAACATATTGGAAACATGAATAGTTTTCACAGAAGAAGAAACTAAATGAAACGGTGCAGCCGAGGCCTTGGAGGAATTGCATTGGCATGCCTTTCACGCTGCCCGCATAATTGTACATATCTGAGAGAGAAACCCTCCCAGATCTATACTATACTTCTCAGAATGCAGTTCTTATATCAGATACAGTTTTTATATCAAATACGATAAGATACCCGTTACACTTGCGAAATGCGCTTGCTCACGCCGCATTTCTTTGCCTTCGTGGCGTTGGTCGCGCCGACGAATTCCGCTAAAGCATCGACCGTTCCTTCTCCCAGGGCTGAGATATTTCCTCCGCAAAATGAAGATACATTGTTGGATCGGAGCACCTCTCCAGCCAGCAGGAGCGGGCAACGCAGGAATTCAACGCCGATATTGCTCGCGCTCCTGGCTGTCACACTTGCTACTGTGCTGTTGCTCGTTCACTGCTTCAGGATCCAACAGTCCAACACCAAATCGGCCATTTTTGGAGTAACTAGGCGGACGCTTTTGGAAGGAGTTGTAGGCCCATGTATTGTAGGTCTTGGCCAATATTAGTATTGCATTCATGTCACATTGAGGTTCAGACTGATGAAGCATAGATGCATTGGGATTTACTGAATGCATCCGGGTTAGTGAGGAGCCAAGATATTCGAAGGAAACACGGAAACTACGCCTTGTTCGTGAATCTGGGCCAGTTCCACTATGGGGCCTACGGTACCTTGATCCAACCGACGAAAGTTTCGCCGGCAGAACACTGTCGAATCATTATCCTCATGAATGGTCAGTGGCATGTATCGTGGGAGCAAGCATCGTACGGCTGCCTTCGGTGGATGCAGGGTGCTACTGCCGACGGAGCCTGTCGCGTAAGCGACACGGGAAAGGTCTTAGCAGGAGCTTCTCCTGAGACAAGTACTCCAGTAGGTGTCAATAATCAAGAATTCAGATACTGTGAAGCTCTGTATGTGGTGGGAGTCAGCTGTTGACAATACGGTGTTTTGTGTCAAACCTCCAGGAGTGTTAAGTGGCAGCCCGGTTTTGTATGATTGTAGGTGCTCTGCGGGGAACAGGAAAAGCGGAATGCCATCCACGGCCATCCACACCGTCAGCAGGAATGGTGTAAATGCATAAGACGCTCTGACGCAGAACCTGTCGTTCGTTGTGTAGCCAGAGTGCAGATGCGCATTGCTGTAACACGGAAGGAAGCGGGCCTTGTAGGGCAGGAGGGTGTTTTTGGTTCGGCGTATGTGTAAGCATTGTGAGGTTATGCAGTCTTTGTACTGGCGTCTACGGGAGCGGTAGTTAGAAGCCTTATCTAACGTTGCGTGCTCGCGCTGCTTTGCACAGGATGTACGCCCGTAGAAGCAAACTCATCCGCTCCCCGTTTCAACCAGTGGGATATCAGGCATCCATACGTGCGTCGATACTTGAAGAGGTCTGGAGTTGCAGCTTTAAAATAAGTGGGTGCTCGTTTTTCCTTAACCGCACTCTTGTTTGGTGTCCACTGGGACTGAATGGTTCGGCGCTGCTATATGGATTTGCGGGACGGAACGTGGCATGGCACACACCGTCAGTGAGCCGGTGAGGCAGTACATGTGCAACGTAACGTGTGGTACGCGGCGGCGGCGACTACGCGGTGCTTTGTCTCAAACATTTTGTTGTATTGATGGCGAGCAAGCATATGAGTGGTGGTACTTGCTCCACAAAGGACGTGAATACTGAAAGGCGGGCAGCGGTGGAAGGCGCGGCCAACACGAATTGTGTAAATACTCATGCCGTTTGCATGAGGGAATGAGTATCCTGTAGCGCATTGTGGGCTATTGTGCGTCAGAAAGGCAAGCGGAATTCGTAGTGCATGCGGGTCTCCTTGGTTTGGAGGGGTGCGTTAGGCTGCTTTTGGGTGCGCAGCCAGTGCACTTTGTGAATGTCACGTCTTTTTCGAGCAAGCCTTCTGACGGGATTTTATTCCCAGTAACTTTCTAGGGGCATTAGTGCCGAATATGATACGGGAGACATTGACCCTGTGCGTTGCACAGCGTCTACCTCCTGAACATTTTAAATCCTGTCTGGTATTTCATCACGATGGGATGCAACAGGGACGCCGCTTGGAGCCGGCTGCATCGTCCTGCGGTTGGTAGTGGGGCAATGCAGTTTGCGTGCGCGGGTTGACGGCCGCAGTGCTCCGAAACCTTCTCTGGCGTTACAATCGCTCGGTGTTTCGCCCAGGAAGTATGCCCAGTCTGCTGTGGGAGGTTGTTTCTATTGTTGCGTATCAGGCCTTGTCTTTGAGGCCATTGATGCATATGCCCATGCTGGCAAATGTATGGAGTTGCAGTGTGAGAAGCAGTGGGGGCCCATGCCGGTCAAGCCTTGCCCTGATTTGGTATCTGCTGAGTGGGTTGTTTCTTCTATGCAATATGCGTTTGTGAGAAAGTTTGACCCCACAGACGATCTCACTGAACTGGTGAAGCAGCATGCGTGCAGCACCATTAGGAAGCAGCAATGACTAGGCAGCGAATTGTGTCAACCGTGTTTTAGTATTGACTGCGAAACTTGTTATCTGTGATGGTAGTTGCTTGCCGGAGCACGGGAATAGCGAAGGGCAGGGGAGCTGTCATGTGTTTCTTCTTAGAATGAACGCCGTTTCTGGGAACAGTTTTCAAGTATTCTTTTGTTGATATTTATTGATGGAAGAATAATAGTATATCAACAGAAAGTTTAACGATGTGGTCGAGGTCTGGGCAAACAATTCATGTTGGCGGTGGCCTGCACAGGGCGAGGTTTTGTAAGTGTTGAGAGTAGGTGCAGTTAATGAAGGTATCAGGTGTATTCTTTCGAGCTAGCCACCTTCCGACAGGGTGCCCGCAGTACCTCCCGACCATCATCAGGAGCAATGTGGTGTATTCTGGGTTACGAGCAGTTTATCCTCGCACGGGTTGCAAAACAGGCGTCTATGCAGCATGATGTCTAGCCTTCCTTGCCTGTCTGTTGTCTATGTGTCTAGAGAAAGGTCACGACAATACGTGCTTGCGCGATAGGGAAGTTGAACTTGCACAGGGTTGCCTCGTCAAGCTGAACTCGCGGGGGGGTGCGCTTGTGGAGTGCGAGCCGATGCCCCGTCGACGTTACACAAAATCAACCAGATTCAATTTTACGTTAGTGCAGCGATGTTGCGGCGGATCAGCTGCATCTGGCTGCGAGCAATTTCAAACGTGTGCCTCTGCGTGAAAGGAGCGGAAGGAACAACTGGTAGAGTATGCCGGAAAGCCCTTGCGCAGCAAGCAGGTCACGTCAAGTGGCAGTTGCAGGGCGTATACCTCGTGCTCACAGGCCGGCTTTTCGTGGTCACGCTACGTTACAGCAGTGCATCGGAGTACTGTTGGTACATTAAGATGACGCTCTGGTGATCCCACATGCAGTTGGATTCAGGCAGAGTGCAGGCATTCTGGACAGAGGAATCTGGCTATGCGCGGCAGTCCTTGACCGCCAATTGAATATTGAGGCGGGGACAGGCACATACAAAATTTTCTATCTAAGCTCTCCTGCTGGATTGCACGTCTAAGGCAATGCACTGTACCAAACGGAGATGCGTGCAGACATCTGGGAAAAGGAACATGGACGACTGCTCACAACTCTTGGTCGGCCTCAGCCTACGCTGCGCCGGTAGACGGTGAAGTATTTCACTCCAGGGGATACCCAAACAGTTGCTCTGGGTTCTATTTTTATTAGCACACCTGCCCACGGTGTTCATTCCTGCTAGAGGAACAGTTTTGGTGCAGCATCCTGTTGGATTATCAGAGAGTATGCGGCTATATCAGATAGCCAGGCGCATCAGCGCAGGTTCCTGTTGTTTAGCGTACCTCTGCTTTTAAAAAGGTTTGCCAGCAACGAACGCACGCTCGTGCTGTATGGTGGTGACCTGGGTCAGCATTGACGTGCCCGCAATATGTGTAGCGGGCGGGAGCGTCCAGCGGTAGACTTTGTCAACGATTCAGTGAAAGCACAGCAGAAAATTACTAGTGAGCCTGAGCTTGTGAGGAATTGCGCATTTGCCGCACACAGCATGCAAGGTGCCTACACATTCCACGTCATGCTTTGTTGCCGCACGTCTTACAAAGCCCAAAATTGAGGACGGACTTATGGCGGCATGTGCAGATGTGTACCGGTTCAAGAGCAGTTATTCATGGGCTAATCACCGTTCAAAATGCAACTGCGGTTGAGCGCAGTCACTGTGCAGTTCAGTTCCATATATATTACGAACTACTGAAGTACCCCAGAAGAAGTGGTATACAGCATCATTGTAACGAACCTGCGCAGCAGGTGTCTTCTGCGAACATGTGGAGCTCTGTCCAGATATATCGCAATTAGTGTTACCTTCAAGCTGTAGGTATTCCGTTTGTCCGGAAAACGCACCGTCAACTGCCTGTACCCGCGGAGATGCGGCTCTCCATTGAGCCCGATTATCCGCAGCTGTGGTAGGTGCTTGCGAGTTTGAGCCGTATCACCAGTGACGCACTATATTGAGACGTTAACTGCCTTAATACCGCTGTGGCCTTTGGCAAAGCACTGGCCTGGGCCAAGTGGGTGAGTTTAAGAATCACTGAGGATTTGGTTTCGCCTGCCAATGCATTGCATACGTGGGACGTGGAAAGGTTGGTGGCGTCGACATTTAGTGCGCCTCCCAGCTCGTCAATTCTGATAGCCGCCGACCGTACTGATAAAACTTCATCGACAGCGTGAGCAGAAACATGACACAAATATGAATTGTGGATACAGTGTGGGCTGCTTGTGCGGCGTGTTCGCTGGCTTGAGCACCCCTTTGTAGGCTGAGCAGCTGGGCATGTCATGTAGTCGGCTTGTAGCAACAGCACATAGGTGACGTGGTGTGCAGCCCGCTGGTAGTCGTCTGGCAGCACAAATCCGTGCTCACAAGCAGGCCGTTGAGAAGTACATCGCATGCGCCATGCACAATAAGTATAATAGTCGGTTGATGACCTCGAGAAAATTATGAAGTTCAGTTTGGTTTGCATGTGCGGCAGTGTAGCAAGCGGGTGCGCGTCTGCTCCGTACTTTGCCGCAGAATCTCAGTACCAGACGGGGTGCACGGAAGGAATTGGCTGCGGATGACTCAGACATCCTTGAACATCCCAAGCCACAGTCCTGGTTTCGCTTGTAAACACATTTACTCGTGGTTTTCGCATTGTATAGAGGGGCGCCAGCAAGGGACTTGGCTAACTTCTTTTTGGACGCCTATGACCTAACCGGTGAGTCGAGTCATCACGCGCTCGCGACCATTCCAACCACAATTAGTGGTTGTCTACGCATTCTACAAATTATTTTCCCTCTTTTCCTGTGGAGGGGAATACTCCGTTTCTTCTTACTGAACGATCCCATGGCACATGCTGAGTATCTCAAACATATCGAACGGTACTAGCGCGGCGTGAGGGATAATGGGGTGCGCTTCCTAACATAGAGTACGCATAGTTTTCTTGCTTAGATGGTGCAGAGGTGGTAGCTTAAAAGATAGTAACGTAATGCTACATTTTTGTTGCGGTAAGGGGCCTTCCCCAGGGAGTACGCTTGTTATCTGGGCTGAGAGATATGTGGTTGCACGCCAGTGATCGAACAGAAGTATTCGCAGTGGAAATAACACAATACATGTACATATACATTCACAGGAGTGTTTCATGTGATGAATAAGGTGCTCAGCTTGAAGCTTACAATGCATGAAGCTTTATCTCCGCGAAGCCACACGCTCGCAAGGGGACTTTCAGCCATGCGATGGGACTGGATTGTGCGAAATGTCAACACTCTGTCACTTAGGTATTATACACAGCGCCATAGCTTGCTGAACGCATTGCCGACAATGCGCTATGCCCTCCTCTGGCGCTGCTGGAATATCCTAGCGGCAGATGGTTGCATGTGTGAATTGTCGGTGCTGTAAAGGATGCGAGGCCTGCAAGAATCGGACGATAAGGCCGCAGTACAACGCAGTGCACCGTCATCTGCGAAATGCCGACCCTTCTCCACTGGTGTAGAAGGCGAGAGCTCGACCATATTTGTTTAGTGATTCAATTTGTTTTCTCTATGCATGCCGCTTGAACGTTGTCCCTACCCATGTGTCACGGGAAATAGTTGTGTGCAGTGAATTACACTGTAGGAAGGTTTACCGATGATACTGCTGGCATGTCCTAGAATTCCAAGCGCTCCGGAGTAACCACTTTGCAGTGGATGCGTTTAAAAGTGTCGTGAAGGTGTCTCAAGCGCAAGGAACAGACAACTGGCGAACGCAGGCCCAAGTCATTACCGGGCCCGCATGGCTATAGGAAATCTTGCACTGCCTCAAGGCTTGGGTATTGCTTTGCCTATTTTCTATGTGTATATCTGTATCTGGGTTGATATTGCCAAGTGGCAAGTTGGGCAATGGACCTTGTAAGCGATGCTTAGGTTGCATGACTGTGGAACTGTGTGGACCTGAGGACAGCTTATGCACCATGTGTAATGAACGAACGTGCTCTTGCGGTGCTGGCACCAGATGGTGGAGCACTGCAAAAGCAGCATCCCAGAGCCTCTCATGACAGCGACTTTGCTGACACTATAAATTTCTGTGTCCAGACAGTGAGCTAGACGCTGCACGCTGGCCATCTTGGGGACGTCAATGCCATGATGCTGTGAAGGTGAGCTTCACGCTGGCCACCTTGGGGGCGTTTATGCCGTGATGCTGAGGGGGCGAGAGGTACGTCTGTCGCTCGACCTTGCCAAACGGAAGCGCCAGGTCAGCCTGCGTGGATGTGGCATGCTTGTTAGCTCATTTAGTGTTGTTTGCGTAAGCAACATATTAGGCCGGGTATACTGCATCCGCGAAATCTTATGGATACGTAAGGCACAACGCACTAGTAACATGCTATCGGGCGGTTGCCGCTGCGATACTAGCTCCAAGGAAGGCGACAGATGAGGCGCGATATGCTCTCGGCGACGCGGCAGGGTGCAAAAGCGTGCGAATAAGCTTGAACGCATTTGAATCATTTAGGAAGACTTCACCACGCGTAGGAGGCTTTTTGAAAGGCGTCATGGGCTGTAGCCAATAGGGCTGCTCCACGTGGAAATACACTTATGTATTTCCGGGGTTTTCAAAAGATACAGCAGGCTCGCTGTTATGAGCTTACGTCATTGAAACAGCCAGATGCTCTGAAGGGTCGTTGGCAATTAACGTAACCTCATCATGAATTGCCACCCAGCAGTGCCCCTCAGAAGCACTGGCTTTTTGGCATCTGCGTTTTGTCATCGACAGCGTATGCAGTTTATGCGCTCACATATGCGCATGCGACGGTAACAATTTTTCCCGTTGCCATCACCTGCTGCTTGGAACAGGAAGTATGCACGTATTTTTTGACTGGAGACGTACTAAGCTGGCTGGAGTAAGCACTCAACGCACCGACTCTGATAGAGGCTGACGGCGCGCTTCTGGTCCTAGCCGTTGTTTTACCATGCATGCTGCCTTCGAAGCATTGTAAACATAAATACGTGATTATTGAAGGAAATGTGTACGGGTGGGAGAAACGTGGAAGCAGTACACTTGTTTGCGTACCCAGTGTTCCAACGGCACCATAGTGCGGCGTTATTTTCTGCTTTTTACGGACAAGGCGTGGCATCGCCAGCTACTTCTGGGATTGAATAAGACGCTACCTGTCTAGGGCGATGTGGCCGGAGTGACGACAGTGAGTTTATCAAGACCGGGTCGGGCCGTGCGCCAGGTGCAGGTGGCGGGGTTGCGCCAACAGCTGTTGTGCATGGCAATGAATGAACCGCAAGTAGGTTGAGAAAGGCGATTGGCTCGGTGGGATCGGTCAGGTTGTGTGGCCGTCGAGTAACTGCAGCTGATGAGTGTATCGTTTAAACTCGGTCGGTTTGCTTTCCTTGCTGTAACGGTTTTCTAGCACAGGTTGGCAATACCCCGTGCCGCGTGAGAAAGCCCTGGATTGTGAACGTGCAGGACGTTCTTCATGCGCTGGAAGCATTTCGAGTCTCGCCTGCCTTTCAACGAAAACGACTGTATAGCAATACACAGCGGAGCCAGCCACTCTGTGCTACCCCTGACTATTGGCATGTGTAAATCTTGCCTATTGGGTACCGTTACTTTTCAGCTTGTATGAGTGCAGACAACGACGTGCACGCACAAGCATGCACCATTTTGGCGAAACTGTGTATAAGGACGATATGACCACTATCCTTGAGGCGCCCGCCTCCTTGGCAACCCGGGGCGGGCTGCATCGGCGCAGCGAGATTGCGCCTGCCTGGCAGACACTGCCATTCCAGACAATCTCAGCCGAGTCGTGAGGCAGTATATGTGCAGCGCAGAACGTGATGGGAGGCAGAAGAAGCTGTACACTGACTTTTGATCGGAGGTTTCGTAGTATTAGCTGCAGGCCAGGTTATGAAAGCTGTTGTATTTCTGCGGATTACGGGACTAGGGAAGGAAGGGCAGCAGCGGCGGAAGGCGCGAGCAACACGGATTGTGTAAAGATTCATGACGCCTGCAGAAAAGAACGATGAATTGCTAGCACACTTTGCCGCCATTAGGCAGTACTAAGGGAGACGAACGCTGCCTCGAACGTGTTCGATATTGTTTAGCCTTTCAACAAAACGGGTTTCGACAGGGACGCCCTATAGCGCCAGCTGCATCGCCGTGCAGTTGGTATAGAGCTTGTGCATGGTTGGCAAGCCTGGGTTGAAATGAGCTGCGTTTGTTGGTTGCAGTATGGCAGCACCAGTGGGAGGCTGACTGATTTGTACTTGTTAGCAGAGTGGGGTTTTGCGGTTTTGTGTGGGCGCG